TAATCATGACATCAGAATTTCTGTTTACTTAAGATAAATTAATGGTCATTGAATAAGTTTGATATTCCACAAAAATGCATTTATTTATTCAGGAGTTAGATCTTTAGCACCAACTCATATCAGTTCAGTAAGCCTGGTCCTAGAGCAGTAAGTGATATATACCTATATACCCAATGCAGTTTCATTGTCCTTATTAGAGAAATTGCTTAGAGGATTTCATCTATGAACATCATCATCAAACTCAAGGTCACCTGAATTAACTCTATAAAAGAGGTTGTATTTTGGTTGGGGTGGGGATGGGGTGAGCGGCAAAGGGGTAAGGATTGAGGAAAAGGAAGTGGTGATCATAAGACCAGTTTCCAAGTTTTTGCTCAAACTAAGAACCTGCCCAACAAGTTATTTAATCATTTGTCTCCATGGCTGTATTACAGCCATTACAGAAGAAATTTGACAAACTGCACATTGTTCCTCAAAGAACTTATCTAGTAAACTTTATAGACCAGTGAGTCAAACTCATAGGATAGGACAGTAACCTTAATGATTGATTCTTGACATGTCCTTCTTTTAAAAACTCCAATGAATAACAAAAGAGAGTATCTAACTGTATAAAAAGTTGAATTAGTATTTTTTTTTAAAAAGAAAAATGGAGCATAGGGCCTTCGCTAGTGGCTCATTGGTAAAGAATCCACCTGCCAATGCAAGAGACATGGGTTCGATCCCTGGTCTGGGAAGATTCCACATGCCACAGAACAGCTAAGCCTGGGTGCCACAGCTATTGAGCCTGTGCCCTAGAGCCCGGGGAGCACAACTACTGAAGCCCAGGCACCCTAGAGCTCATGCTCTGCAACAGGAGAAGCCACCACAATGAGAAGTCTGTGCATTGCAACAACGAATAACCCCCACTTATCGTAACTAGAGAAAGCCTGCGCAGCAACGAAGACCCAGCACAACCAAAAATAAATAAATAAATAATATAAAGTTTCCTAAAATGGAGTGTATACATTAATTACAATAAATCATCATTTTAAAATTAATATTTGATTTTTAAAAATTGTTTGCAGCAGTATACATGCAGACGATATAGGAGTATATAAATAGAAAGTAAAAGTCTGCACCCTAGGCCCTACACAACATGAACCATTATTCAGTGTGTGTTTTTACAAATGGTTTTCTTGTATGACAGGCATTGATGTGTGTATTTAATTAATGTATTTATTTAGCTATTTCTCTATTTTACAAAAGTTGAAGGTACATGTTGTTCTCCAGTTTCCTTTTCTCACTCAGCTGTATGTGGGGAAAACCTTTTCATGAGAACTTCACATTTTATTTAACTCTGATCCATTTGATAGTTAATTTATTGTGTACTTTTAATTCATGAGATGATTAAAAATATCACTTGAAGTTTTCTAAAACATTAGTATAAATCCTTTCAACATGGAATAAAGATTGTGATAAATTTGGGCAAAATTTTGTTCCAGTTTGGACAAAAATGGACAGGGATTAACCGCAGAAGAAGATTATTAAGTGATTTCACCCAGGAACTGTTTCAGTGATAAATTTATATTGTAGATCCATTTGCATGTACTTGATCAACCAGGTTAACCCCAAAAGGAGGAGAAAAAAAAAAGTTTAGGATACAGATACATCTCACATTCGAATGAGTCTTTAGAAAAAAGGCAATTTAAAAAAATTTCTATCTACATTGAGTCATAAGCCATACATGTCTTATTAAATTTTTGAACAGTTGTCAGCTGATATTCAAAATAAAAGAATCTTTGTGAGTCACTTCTATTCAACAGCGGCTTTAAAATTATTTGGGGATGTGAAAAACTTTGACCTATGCTGGTTCGTTCTTGATGAAGGGAATCGTCATCATTGCTATTATGTTACACTGTATGTTCTTATGAGTAAGCTGAGCCACCTCTGGGCCACTGGACCAATGTGGGTTGGCCCCCATCAGTGAACAGACTAAACTATAGCCTTATTCCAAGAATATGGAAACTGACAACAAATTATTGCTTGTGGTCTACTTCCAGTTTCAAGTGCAAACATACCAAAGTTTATTTTAAATTTGAGCCAGTCAGACATTTAGCAATATACATCAAAGAAGAAGTGAAGGCTTCCCATGTTTATTATTTCAATATGATGTCTGTTCTAATAAAGTAGAAGAATGCATATGACAGACCATGTAGTAGAAATTCTCTGGTTCCACAGTTTGGCCTTAAATATATACATATATTTGTAAATTAATCCAAAACACATTGCCATGGTTCCAGTTCCTCTGAAAGCTGATTGTTTTCCGTCCCTTTTTTAATTTTAGAAATACAGTGGCCGACTGCCAGAACACTTTCAGATAAACAGTCCACTCCATGTATAAAAGGGGCATAGAATCACGAATGTTCAAAACCACAGAATGTTATTTAAATAAGTTAAAGTTATTATGGTCTTCCCTATTAATTAAAAAAAAAGCCATCTGTGCAAGGTGAATTTTCGTTAAGGTCCCAATTTTTTTTAATGATTGTGGATGGAATTTGCAACTGCTTTCATAGTGAAAGTACAGTTCAGGGATTCCCAAGATATAATGCACTATTTATGTAATTTTGTGGTCATTTGACTAAATTTCTAATAAAACACGGGGAAGAATTCTTATTATTCCATCTGAACGTACAGTCCTGCTTGAAGGAACTGACTGTAACTAACTTTACCTTTCTATTCTTCTACCACCTTGACATCCTAAATCTTTATTTCATCTGAACCTTCTCTGTGTATGTGCACATGTGTGTGTGTGTGTGTGTCTGCCTCTGTTTCTGTCACATACACACACACATTACAGCCCACATTTTGTCAGAATTGTCTTTGACAAAAACATTGCAATGGTGAACAAGACTGAACACACACACCAAAAAAGGAAAAAGAAAACATTGCATGAAGAAACAGCACACTGGACAACATTACCAACGCAGATCTATACATCCTTGTGATAAGACCTTGTTTTCATTTTCATTTTTGTTATTTGCAGAATTGATTTCCATTGGGCAAATAACCTATAAACCAAGGCTTTCAAAATCTTAGAGGAATACAAAGTCAAAGGGTGCTCCTCCCTTGAGTTTGGCAGGAAAATACCACGACAAGAAGGATTTGGGGATCTTTTTGGTCATTTTCCCTCCAACCAGTGTTGTCAGTCAATTAAAATTTGTACCCTAGGTCTTTACCGGTTTGAAGCCACTCCTGGGGTCTGTGATGAGCAATCCTTCTTGTTTGTGCAGTCATTCATTATCTCCATTACCAAAAGGAGAATAGAGGACAATTACATTGTTTGGACGAATCAGAGTGTTAGGAGGAGTATTTGTCATGGTGGCAGAGTGCAGCACCTGACAGGCAACGATTGATGGCCAGGAATGAGTGTGAGTGGCCAAAGCTGCCTCATAGGATGCAAATTACTGACTGTGGATTCCAATTTATCCTGTTCATTTTTCTTGCCCGTGCTGAAGACCATTAGTGGTTTTTGAAGCAGTGAAGGGGTCATTACTAATGTGGGTAGGCTCGAAACAGGAGGGGGAAGGAGGGGAAAAGCCTTCTGTAATTACACAGCTTTCAGGAACAGGCTGGAGGCCCTAGCCAAAAAAATGTCAACACCTCGCAATCAGAAAAATTTATTTTCATTTTATGCTTAACCCATATTAACTCAACATTATCATCTTTCTTTGTTAACATTTGCAGAATATTAAAAGCCTGGCTTCTATATTAATACAAATCTAGTTAACCCCTTTTGCAATACAGGGGATTTTGTTTAACCTAATGGCATTTGGGTTTGCTAATAAGTAATTGTGCACATTTTGGATAATGCACGCTATTATGGAAGATGAAATACCTGAAGAATAAAATCTTAGATGAGTGAAAAACATTCACTCTCAAACACTGGAATGATTAGAATGCTATGAATGGAATACTTTGTTGTTCCTAATGTCACCCTTTAATAATATTGATGAGAAATATTTATTCCTGAAGGCTTTCTAGTTTAGAAATGACTTTGACATGCTGCATAAAAGTTTACTTCTCTGTTTAAGAAAGCCAGTGAATTTAGAGTAGGGACCTATTTAATAGACATATTTTATAATTATGTATATGCCAGTAGAGTGTCTCAAAGTAAATGCATAAATCTAAAGTAACAACCTGATTTCAGAATGAGAGAGGAAAGGGGTTTGATGATGGGAGAATGGTTTGTTATAAATGTTGGTGAGTTGTGCTGTGAAGTAAAGAATTAAAAAACACTGAAACCTATGGCTTCATTCGCTTATTGCCACACTTGAGGGTAAAATGTAAAATTTCTGTGTGAAGCATTCCCATAATTGACTGCTTGTGATGTGTGGTCATTGTGTGTGACCCTCTTAACCCGGAGCAGCAACCAGGAAAAATGAAAGAATCTTCCACTGTCCTTTAAAGGAGTCAACATAAATAACTGTCAGTGAACTCTGCTGTAATTGAAGCAGTTGCCATGGCTTCCAAGTATAGTTGTGATTATGTACAATCTTACTTTCCAAACTTTGACTGTCAATAATCTTAGATTAACCAGGAAATAATGATTGTATTGAGCCATCTCACAAAGAAAACACAGGAGACGGGCTGCACAGAGGTTTTCCAGGAAGTGAACTGGGCCTGAAACCAGCTCCCTTAGTGCAAATGGAGTGACTGTAGACAACCCAAACTCAGACCCATCGCCTAAGTGCTGTGCATCCCTGATTGACCGAAGAAACTGAATTCTTGCAACGCTGCTGGCTTTGTGCTGCTGGCCTCCACAGCGTGGTGGGAACCGGGCTGCCCAGGCAGGTTTTTGGATTCTTGTCTCTGCCCACATTTTCCCCCGCACGTGATTAAAAGGCCGCGATTAGGAAAATCAAGTCATAGACTAAAGAAATCACAAACAGTGGTTTCATTCATAGGCGTAAGTGACTCTTTCTTAACTTCTGATACATCTTTCAAAACATTTGTTTTTTCATTAGCATCCGTACCCTTCCGAAGAGCAGAAGAAACAGTTAGCTCAAGACACAGGACTTACAATTCTCCAAGTAAACAACTGGTGAGTGACCCCCAAATCAATGTCTTTCTCCTGTGGCTAAGATAAGATTGGTCAGTCATTGTCTTTTGTTTCTGAAACAAATGGGATTGAGGAGGGTGACTCCTGTGTTTCTACCTTGAGATGTGAACGTAGTGCGTAGGGAGAGGAAGAGGTAACTAGGTAAATGGTTTTGATGAGATATATCCTTTTTGTCTCTCTCCCTCCCTCTTTCTTTCCTTTTCTCTTCTCTTGCTCTTCCTCTCCACCTCACTTTTCCCATCTCTGATGCTTTAAAATTCTCGAATTGAGCAGAGAAAATTCAGTTTAAGTCACTCCCATTTAAAGTAGTTACTCTGGGTATTTTGGAGCAGTCGTCATTTGAAGTTATCGGTTCTGGAAGGTTTCTTTTGTCTAGGCTTTTTAGGGTGATGGAGATGCAGGCTCTTTAGCGCTCCTAATAGAAATTTATTTACCCTAATTTTTTTTATGTGTTTTTGAACACAGGGTAAGAAAAACCAAAGATTTACCCACTTTGAGCTCTGCCATTTGGCCGATTACCGCCGTGGAGGTGCATGGGACATCACTCTTTGTATATGGCTTAGAGGGTAACTGAGGGAAAGGAGGGGCAGAGGATTAAATAAAATGATCACAGTGGCCAAGAAATGATATAGGAATTACTTATCAAAATACTGGCCCAGGTTTTATCAGCAGCTTAATTTTGTTCGGTACATTCTTGGGGTGATGTTCAGATTAATTGAACTGACAGTTCTCTTTCAAAATTCAGGGAAAGTATTTGCACGGATTTCAGGCCTTATACAAACTTAATTACATGGAACTCCATTTTATCATTCTAATTCCATGTAGCAGAGGTTGTATTTACAAATGAGAAGTCTCTGCCTTTATTCACAGCTTTCCTTAATATATTTATCAAAGCAGGTTCATTTACAAAGTGCTCTATCTGTGGGATACAGGCAGGCAGACATTAACAAAGCTTTTAGGTTTATCAGGCTCGCTGCCTGATGAGCTACCCGAGGGTCAATTGATTTTGTGGTTCTGTGATTCATTTTTTTCTCATTTTTCTAGGATCACAATGAGAGACATGCTTGGAGAATTAGCCAGTTTGTCTGCCTTATCTGTCAGGCAATTTTTTTTTTTTTCCCAGGGAAGTCAAGCTACTTAAATTGGCCACAGGAACTGCCGTTATCTGGCTTTAATGCACCCTATAATGTGGATAGCATTTCAATTACACCAGTAACCAAAGCTTAGCTGCAGCCCTTTTCATGCCTAGTGCTGTACAGAAAGTGATGTGCCTACCTACAGAAGCAGAAAATTGAGTTGCCTTGCTTCTGTCAGGGTGATTAATGCAGAAATAAACTGCTAACCTGAAAAGAAAGGCAGAAAGAAAGGATAGACAATACAGACTTGAATTCACTTTAATTTTTTACTAAAGATTGGAACTATGTACATTTAAAGATACCCTTTAGACCAAAAACTTGGAATAAAGGCTGTAATCTCCGGACAGAGATGTGTATGTGATTCCACATTGATATGAGCCTCATAGAATAGATACATATATGTCAACATATATATATATTCTCATTTATGTTCCTAGCACAAGCTATCAGAAGTCTAAAACAATAAAATAAATGCAGTCTGTGTTGATGGTTGAAGACTTATTTGCCCTGCATGTTATTTTATAATCATCACGCTGATCACCAAACTGACCTACCTTGTATACAGTGGACCTTAATGCAGTGAATGTTGCTTTAAAATCATAATTTTTATAAATTTGGAACAAGTTGAGGGTGGTTGTGATTGGAGTTTGGGGAAAAAAGGAACTATTTCTACATGGAAATTTGACTTTGACATTTGATCTTGCTCTTTTTGAAAGTACTGCTCCCTCTCACCCACTCCCTGCACTTTTTGATGTTGTCATTACACTTGACGAGTGAAGATGCTACAGTCATATCTAAAGATGAGCGTTTCTCACAATTAGACACCCGGTTGGAACCTGGAGAGAGCACCCCTCGTTTTCTGAATTCCATTAAGCCCCAGGGCATGGACGAGGAGTTCTGTGGTGTGATAGCTTAGGTTTCTTGTTTCTCTATTATTTGAGCCATGTTTGCCGCAGAATGCCAAGGGTTAGAATGTGACAGTCTATCACACTGCATACTTTCCATAATATGGCATCAGTGTTGACACCTACATCTTTACAAAATAATTCCATCTCCCTAATTTTCACACTTCCCTCTGAAAAACCCTCTAATCCTGCCCTGAGGTCTAATTCTTAGTTAACAGCTACCATAACTTTGATAATAAGGTGTGACTGTGAGGATAATACAGCAGATACTTCTAAAAGACTACCAGGAATTTCACACAGGGACCGACTTTTGGTGGATCTCAAAAAGAAATGTAAAAGAGAACACCAGCTACTATACAGTACATTCTGAAACTGTCCAATGTCTTGATGATATCATCTTCAAAACAGAGAAAGCTATCCAAACTCATTTCAGAAGGCTTCATAATCACTGTTCCTAAGTGCCAAGTGATAACTAGAAGGGATGAGAAGAGTAGGCTGTAAACTATTTCTCCAGGCCCTGAGAGCTCTCAGAAAAGGAAAAAAAAAGAACAGGGGTCAGCAAGCAGTTCCTAAACCTCATTTAATCAGCTCTGCTAGGAAATAATACCCACTTCTCTGATGGAGGCCAAAACTTCAGACTTGTGTGTTCTGATGCCTATACTAAAAGAATTTGAATAGTGTAGAAAGCATTCACATCAGAAAATCATGGAAGACCTGCTTCAGTTCTGCTTCTCACTTACCTCTTAAAATAGAAATGCCGAGCAAGGTCAGGGTAGTTAAGTATCGCTGTAAAATAACCTTTGTAGTAATAAGCAATAGAACATGGCTCCACGCACTTGATGAGAGCAATAAGCAATAAAAACAGACCTGTTAAGATCGGTCAGTAATTTCAGAACAAATAAGCAAAAAGGAAGTTTAGGAGATAATTAAGGGAATTAAAGATTGTTTTATCTTAGCAGCTAGTGTTAGGAATAATCTTAATGGGCTTTTCCTGTGTATTTACAGTAGGGAGTGTGCAAAAAGTGATGATACTACCAAATCAAAATGTGATTTCAGGAAGAGAGTGGAGTTTGACACTAAGTCATTTTTTCCTACAGTTAGTCATCAGAAATCTATTAATAATCGTCATCTAATTAAGACTTTTTTTAAAAAAATGATGATAACCTGATCTTCAGTGTATGTGTGCACTTCACTGCCAAAGCTAATCACAAGTACTATAGTGAGATTGGCTTTCTAGGCTGTCCAGTTAGGGGAGAGTCACCTCAACTGTGAAACCCCCAAAGTGTGTGCATAGGAGAGAAGAAAAGCAAAAAAATGAATATCCTCAGTCTGAATAACCTACTCGCCATGAAGAAGCAAACTGTGACTGAATATTCATTAAATTTTGGTAGCTAATATAACGTAGTCGGTAATCAGACTCCAGAGCCAGACCCCATGGAGCTAAAATCCTGGTTCCATCATTTATCAATTAGATGTTCAACCTTCACCAAATTGCTTAATCTTTTTAAGCCTTAGTTTCCTCATCTATAAAATGGGAACAATAATCACATATAGTTGTAACATGTCAGAGAGGTACTGCGGGCTGTCTCAGCATTAGTACTGGCATGTATCACAGATGTTATCTGTTGTTAAACTAGTTAAAAGTATATAATTATAAAAATGAGAGAGAAAGATTTATGATGATTTCAAACAATGATGCCAATTAAGACATCATTAAATCACTTATAAACTAGAATGGAGATTTCTTTCAGGAAAAAATAGAAGCAATAAAATTTGAGAGCAGACATCTTACTGTGCATAGTTTCTATATTAAACAAAGATAGACTTTTGTAGTTTCTTAGATGATCCTTCTTTTGTAGTTCTTTGATGCCAGGGAGGTAAGATTAGGGAGCCCTAGGAGGTAAGTGGCTTCAAATAGCTGTGAAGACTAGACTTTTTGAAGGAAAGTTTTGGGTATTAATGCTCTGTTATTTCCTCAGGAGCCATGCTTACATGCATTCATTGACAGAAAATTTTTTTGAAAATTATTTTTTTTAATGAGGAAGTTCTTGCTTTAATAATTTGTTGGGATGCATTTATACATCTTCAAAGTTAATAATCATTGAAATGTAGCACAGTCTTAACTTTGACAATTAAAACCCCTCAATCCCTGGGTCGGAAAGATCCCCTGGAGAAGGAAATGGTAACCCATTCCAGTATTCTTGCCTGGAAAATCCCATGGACAGAGGAGCCTGGTGGGTTACAGTCCATGGGGTTGCATAAGAGTCAGACACGACTTAATGAATAAATAACAACAAAGCTAAAAATATTATGTGAAAAATCATAACATTTCCATGTTCTCATGTAACTTTCCTCAATGCTATATAAGAATTATAATATTAATTTTAAGTTCCTGTTTCTAGGTTTAATTTTAAAAGGAAGAAATACTGCTTTTAAAAACTCATGTCACTGAAGTAATTGTATCCTTAACTATATACCAACAAGCAAAATTCATTGGGTGACATATTGACAGAAAACAGGTATACTAGGAATAAAGGACTTACTTTCTTGACAGGAGGCTGTCTCCAGGGCCCCAAATAAACATTCACAAAACTGAAGTTTCAAGGAGCTTTTTCAGTTGAAGGTAGTTCAGCTAGTTCTTTTGTGTAATAGATTTAAATGGCCCTGTACAGCCTCTCAACCTGAAGATATGAAATATCTTCATTCTGCTTGCCCCATCTTTCCATCAGTGGTCTTCCAACAATCTTTCTTGCTACAACAGCCTTTAACAATCAGACGTCCACTTTGTGGAACTTCCTCATGGGAAGCGATAGCTTTTTTACCTTTTTCAGTTTCACCATGTTGACAGTTTTTTCTAGCCTCGATAAAAGCTTGTTCAGTTCGGACTAAAGTACTGTGCCAGGGGAATTCCCGGGTGGTCCAGTGATTAGGACTCAGTGAC